AACTCATGAATTAGAAATTGGAATAAAAATAATGAATTATAATTGATTGTAATTGTATCAAAAAATTGACGGAAAAGTAAACAGTGCTTTAAGTAATGTGCTTTAACATGCTAAAAGTAATAAATTGTCAACCTGAGATTTTGACTTGTTCCATTTCACCACTCACGTTAAGATTGTGGATTTGTGATCACAATTACGATCGAGTTTTAGCATTTCCAGAGTGTCGCAACCAAAGTTGTGCATCTGTTATTTTTGGGCACGAAGAAAATTTGTAATTTCCCGACTTCGCAGTTCGAGGCAATGTGTCCGCTATTGGCGCAATAAAACGAAAATAACTGCTGTGACCAAAAGTTAGCAATGTGTCTGCTGCTGGCGTGAACAGAGAAAAAATAACTGTGACCGGCGCGACCAAAAGAAAGTAAACGGCGACCAAAAGTTTTAATTTGTGTTTCGACCAATTCGACCAAAATTTGGTATATTTCGACCGGCTCGAACAAAGGCTCGATATGTTTTGACGGTCTCGACCCACACTATTTAATTTTCGGTTATGTTGGACCGAGAAAAATGTTTTCAATTTAAAAAAAAACGTTGAAATCGAGTTTGATTGAGAAAAAATGGACCAAGTTAACATCTTTCCCCCACAAAAAGGCTTTTTCTGTGGGGGTGGATGTTAATTTGGTTGTAAGATCGAAATTTTCAGCCAATCAGAATTGAGCATTTTACATGCAGCGCTTAGCAAATGTGTTTCCAAAAACACAAGACAAAATTTAATAAAAAAATCAAAAATGTTTCGAAGTGAGTTTCAGTTGTTTGTCATTTAGTTTTTTGACCAAACTGTGTTGTCTTTTGTATAGAAATTGTCTTGACTTATTTTACGAGCATTTCGTGACAAATGTTTTCCCTATATAGCGGCTAATTATTCTATCATATCGAAATTAATTTTTTGACCATTTTGCAAGTAATTTTTCGACCATTTTGCAATAAAATTTTTGAGCATTTTGCAATTAATTTGTTGACCATTTTCCTCTTAATTTTTCGACCATTTTGCAATTAATTTTTCGACCATTTTGCAATTATTTTTTTGAGCATATTGCAACTAATTTTTCGACCATTGCGACCAAGATGCCTAATTTCTATAATTCGTCCACGGCCATGAAACTCTGTCCAGACTATGGATTTAGTCGATAAAAAAAGAGGTAGACCAGATCCATTACGGCAAAAAGATACTCATGTCTTAAGTTGTGTTATAATTTTCGTCTTCAGTTGATTTTCGGGCCAAACTCAATCTGTGAATTTATAATTCAGAATTGCACTCAAATTAATGCAAGACAAAAAGTGGATTGTTTATTTCAAATGTTCATCGCACACATTTTGACGCTATTTTACGGTCTAGGAGTACCAAATAAATTGTTTTGTTTTTTTCTGTTCGAGAAAATTATATTGAATTCTTTTTCCATAAACTGAAAACAGTATAAGCCTTATTGGAAAAAATAGCGCATAAAAAATAGAGTTAAATGGTTCAAATTATTCAAAACATCAAGAACAAAATTGAATTTTTTTTCTGTAAAACGATTTTTGGACTGACAACGACAGAAAAAGGAAACAAAAACTTACCTCTATAAATAGTATTTTTATAGATACTATTAACAATGCTTATTCAGGCTATAAATGACCTCTTCCGTGTTCGCGTTGTGCTGTCCTTTTTTGCTGCTATTAAGGAGAATGAATAAAAAAAACAGCACAAAAAATTGTTTCAGTCGCATTGTCAATTTGGGCCGAGATTAGAATTATAATTACCAGCGGATTCTTACTTGGGTTACAGCAGATTTGGGTAGATTTTCATTTTGCAGCTAACTCTTCTGTATGTATTATGTATATTAGTTAATTATGCTCTCAATCTAGGGGAAACTTCATAATTTCGTACATTGGACGCAGTAGCGTACCGAGGGAGAGGGGGCAGTATGGGCGACTTTCCCCCCATTTCGTTTTGCTAAACTTTTCCAAAGGTATAACTTTACGACATCCATTTTTGGCTGACCAGCCTCAAAAATTTGGTTGATATCAATCCCTTTTTATCTCTTGGTAGATTAGATATCTTGATATGTAATCCATGATTGTTCGTCCCCCCATCTATACAATCAAAGCGTGTAAACGTTGAGAAGAGATGATAGGTGCTGTATCATGAGTTCACTTATACGGAAGCTAAGTTTTTAAATTTTCAGCTTTTGTACATAATTCAAATAGCTAAGTAAGCTCTTTTGGAGCTAATTGTCGATTTCTGAGAGCTCACCCGCATCCAAGTTAAGGCTTAATGTTCGCTTATAACGGATTATTATGATGATTTTCTGACAATTATAATTGATTATAATTACCAAAACTTAGGTGTTTAGAAAATTTATATTTGAATATAATCGAGATAATTTCCAAGCGATTATAATATCTTATAATCAATTATAATTGATTATAGTTCATACAAAAACCCCTTAAAATCAATTAAAAATGATTGTAATCGATTATGTTCTCTTATTTTATCAAAACTGTGTCACAACAAAAAAAAACATTTGATTTATATAAATGGGTTATTAATTTTTTGTCTATAGCAAAACCTCTAAAAGAGAGATCTATTGTCACACTTTAGTTCATCTGAACACAAAGTTTCACCACGAGATCCTTTTATATTAGTGGAAAGGTTACCACGGTGGGTCAAAAATAAATTTTCTGACTGAATCAATCATGCTCACTAAATCAATTTGCTGATGTTATGCTGGTTAAAAAAGCTTAAATTGTGCATCATGAAAAAACTTTAATGACAAAAAAAAGAAACAAAACGTTAATAATTTGAAATGATTTGAAAACTTTAATAACAGTTCTCTCATTTTTCACAGGAGCAAACGTCTACGAAAAGCATAAAATATAAGCAACTTAGATTTAAAATTCACTTCGAAGACACAATGGGCAAACAAAAGGGATAATAATCGACTATAATCGATTATAATGGATTTTTGTGCAAAACTCATGAATTAGAAAATGGAATAAAAATAATAAATTATAATTGATTGTAATTGTATCAAAAAATTGACGGAAAAGTAAACAGTTATAATTGATTGTATGGTTCTAACTACCCGGTTTTTTGTGACCCATTTTTAGTGTCCTAAAATAGTACCAAAGGGGGGATCCTTTGGGTCGGCAGCGGGTCGAATCCCTGAAGGATGAGGGAGCGTCCGAACCCCCTAAATTCGCCCATGTAATCAAAACATGTTGTGGATAGCTTACCATAATCGGTTATCTAGACAACAGTTTAGACAACAACGAAAACCCAATATAATCGATATTTGTCTATGAAATCTCGGTGTGGCAAATTTTTCACTGGCGGCATTAGTGTCTCAGCACCTGGCAGTTGCCAGTACCTTGAAGTTGCAGCTTATCAAGTACAACAGTGCTTTAAGTAATGTGCTTTAACATGCCAGAAGTAATAAATTGCCAACCTGAGATTTTGACACGTTCCATTTCACCACTCACATTAAGATTGTGGATTTGTGATTACAATTACGATCGAGTTTTAGCCTTTCCAGAGTGTCGCAACCAAAGTTGGGCATCTGTTATTTTTGGGCACGGAGAAAATTTGTTATTTCCCGACTTCGCAGTTCGAGGCAATGTGTCCGCTACCGGCGTGATAAAAGGAAAATAACTGCGACCGGCGTGACCAAAAGTTAGCAATGTGTCTGCTGCTGGCGTGAACAGAGAAAAAATAACCGGGACCGGCGCGTCCAAAAGAAAGTAAACCGCGACCAAGATTTTTAATTGTGTTTTAACCGATTCGACCAAAATTTGGTATATTTCGACCGGCTCGAACAAAGGCTCGATATGTTTTGACGGTCTCGACCCACACTATTTAATTTTCGGCTATGTTGGACCGAGAAAAGTGTTTTCAATTTAAAAAACGTTGAAATCAAGTTTGATGGAGAAAAAATGGACCAAGTTAACATCCTCCCCCCACAATAAGGCGTTGGGGGGGAGGGGGTTTAGGGGGGGGGGGGGGGGGGGGGGGGTGGATGTTAATTTGGTTGTAAGTTAGAAATTTTCAGCCAATCAGAAGCGAGCATTTTACATGCAGCGCTTAGCAAATGTGTTTCCGAAAACACATGACAAAATTTTAAAATAAATCAAAAATGTTTCGAAGTGAGTTTCAGTTGTTTGTCATTTAGTTTTTTGACCAAACTGTGTTGTCTTTTTTTAGAATTTGTCTTGACTTATTTTACGATCATTTCGTGACAAATGTTTTTTTCACTATGTAGCGGCTAATTTTTCTAACATATCGCAATTAATTTTTTGACCATTTTGCAACTAATTTTTCGACCATTTTGCAATTAATTTTTTGAGCATTTTGCAATTAATTTTTAGACCATTTTCCAATTAATTTTTTGAGCATTTTGCAATTAATTTTTCGACCATTTTGCAATTAATTTTTTGAGCATATTGCAACTAGTTTTTCGACCATTGCGACCAAGATGCCTAATTTTTATAATTCGTCCATGGCCATGAAGCTCTGTCCAGACTATGGATTTAGTTGATAAAAAAGAGGTGTACCAGATCCATTACGGCAAAAAGATACTCATGTCTTAAGTTGTGTTATAATTTTCGTCTTCAGTTGAATTTCGGGCCAAACTCAAGCTGTGAATTTATAATTCAGAATTGCACTCAAATTAATGAAAGACAAAAAGTGGATTGTTTGTTTCAAATGTTCATCTGACACATTTTGACGCTATTTTACGGTCTAGGAGTACCAAACAAATTGTTTTGTTTTGTCTGTTCGTGAAAATTATGTTGAATTATTTTTCCATAAACTGAAAACAGTATAAGCCTTTTTGGAAAAAATAGCGCATGAAAAATAGAGTCAAATGGTTCAAATTGTTCAGAATATCAAGAAAAAAGTTGAATTTTTTTGTTATTTAAAATGATTTTTGGACTGATAACGACAGAAAAAGGAAACAAAAACTCACCTTTATAAATAGTATTTTTATAGATACTATTAACAATGCTTATTCAGGCTATAAATGCCCTCTTCCGTGTTCGCGTAGTGCTGTCCTTTTTTGCTGCTATTAAGGAGAATGAATGGAAAAGCAGCACAAAAAGTTGTTTCAGTCGCATTGTCAATTTGGGCCGAGATTAGAATTATAATTACCAGCGGATTCTTACTTGGGTTACAGCAGATTTGGGTAGATTTTCATTTTGCAGCTAACTCTTCTGTCTGAATTTGTCAGAGAAAATAAGTTTGAGCTTAAGCAAATTTTCGAAAGAAGAGCTAGCCGAAGACTCACGAAACAGCAGCTAAAATAATTTTTTTGGAACCTCCCCCAAGCCATTTAGGGGAGGGGGTGTTAACTTAGTTCTGAGTTCGATTTTTCAGTCATTAATATTGGAGCATTTTACATGCAGAGCTTAGCAAATTTACTCTGAACTAAATGCTGGTGGTCTATTTGGGGTGAGGACGTTAACTTTATCCCTTTTTTGCTAATTCAAAAAAGCAATTAGAAATCAAAAATATAAACTGAATGTAAATAAAAGTCGAGCTATTTTATTAAGGCAATAGCTAAATAAGAAGAAAAACCGGCAAAATGAAAAAGCGGACCAAATTTTTTTCAACTTTTTTTCGGTTATATTTTTCGGCTATTTCGATTTTAGAATATCTGCGCTTGAATTACTGTCTGACGTAGTTTTTTCCTCTAGAAAAGGAGACACTTTCCTCTTTGTTAAATTAAACCGGGGATTCTATTTCCTGTTCTTTTTCCTCGAAATAAGGACAACCTTCAAAATACCTTCATTCTAACTGCTTACCTAATAATGCAACTTCTGGTGATAATCGTGCTAACAACCGATGGCGAAAACATCCGACAATCGGAAGCTTTACTGAAAAATGTCTACCTTAAAAGCCCTAAAAAAATTTTCTTAAAGCGCGTTGGCGCTAATGATACTAATTCACTTTGAGGAGCACGCGCCAAAAAAAAAGATGTTTTATGATAATATCCAACAATCAAAAAGTGCTAATTTTTTTGGCAAGCAATTTGCTTTGGAAGGGGTCGAATTTTGCTGCACTCTAATTGGTATTTGGACTAACTTAACCTACTTTACAATTGCCCCTTTCTCTCGAAAGGGGGAGGGTAACTGTTAAGTAGATTCGACATTTTTTTAACGTTATCTTTTTTTTTTCATTGTACTTAGTTTGTAGAAAAACGTTAAATAATGAAAAAACGTTAAACATAACTTCAGGTGATTTTATTATCTAAGATTATGAGGCGAAAAGTGTGAAGCGTAAGGCATTATCAGGGATGCTGTCTGGTTCAATTAAACAAATTGCGCCCGAATTGGCTCAATAGGGTTCAAACTGTCAGTCACTATTTATCCTGCTTTGACAGTGATGATTTTAGTATGCGATGGAAACAAATTAAGCGTGCAAATTTTAACAAGTACACTTGTTATTTAATTCTCTAAAATTAGTTTTTTTTTCTATAAGATATTCAGGTCATGACGAAATATCTTAGTTTTCCATTCTATCTTGTAAATCAAATTAGATAACTTGAAATATTGGCGCGGTGTAACTTAATTTGAGGCCAATTTTTAAAAAAAAATCATGAACTATCAGAAGCTTTTGAGCGAACATCGTAATTCAAACTTAAAACTCCAAACAAGGCCAACATGTTTGGCAACTCTCACTTTCTCAGCCTAAATTCGTGACAAAAACTGGAAAAGACAAATTGTTAGGTCAAAAGCAAGAATTTATTTGGGTAATTTTACAGTGACTTTCTGCATTGTTAAAACAAATAGTCGAACCAAAATAAGATTCCCTATTTTTTTTGGATCAGAATTAATTAGCGTGCGTGTGAAATGCTCGATTCTGGTTGGCTTAAAAATATAAATAACCCACCCGAGCACAGACATTCCGTTACTTTCGTATCGAAAGTCGGAACAATAAGAACCAAGCATCCTCTCAGTATAACGCTTTAGGGCGATGTTTACTTGTTCCCAATAGTGCATATGTTTCTTAACCATTTGAACAAGAATTTTTATTTTGAAATAGATACAATTTCTATTATTTAATCATGGCCGAACTTTGAACCAGGAAACATAGCTAAACAAAACATGAAACATCTTTTTCTGAAAGCTACAGAAGATTTTTGTAGTTCTCTTACTTCTTTTCAACAACTTTTCTATTAAAAGTTTCAAATTTAAGAAACTTTACTAAGTTTTTGTGCCATATGTATAGTTTTGCTCTATCAATCAGACCAGTTCTGTCAACCACGAGTACTGTGGAAACGTCCGATAGGTCAAACAACCAAAAAAAAAAACGATTAACAGCCCTGGTTGACCTCCAGAATGCTCATCATACAATGTTCATCATACATAAAAAAAGCTCATCATACAATTCCATAAATGGTTTTTATGAATAAATGCTTATCATTACAGTTTTCATTTAGGAAAAAAGCATGAAACAATTTTTCCATAAAAGAGTCCGAAAACTGAGGAAAAAATGTTTCAGTTCTCATATTAGTCGCTTAACTAGATTTTTGAAGAAAAAGTCATTTTCCAAAGCTATTTTTTTGCTTGCAAAAACTTCAAGTTTTTCCTTATGTAATGTAATCTACATACAGTCTTTCAACACAGAACAATCAAGAATTACAATCAAGGTTCTCTGGGTTTTCTGCTGTTTTTTTTAGATATTAACCTGTTCCCTAAATCCGTCCAAAAAGAAGACTTTTCGTTGTTGTGCTTAAACACATTGGTCTGGTCAAAATACATGAGCACCGAGAAAAACACAAAAACTTATATGGAAACTTTTTAGTAATACAATTCCCTGGCATGGAAAAATGTCCACCATACAATTCCATAGTGTTGAAAAAGTGCTTATGATGCAACTTTCATACAATTTTTTTAAGTCTATGGAAATGTAAGGAATTCTATGAAAACATTATTTCCATAGTATGGAGCTGTTTGATAAGCAATTTTTCTCAATCCGGGAGCTTATTGGTGCAAGATCAGATAAAGCTTCATAATTAAAATAAAAAATCAAACTTTACGGTTTGCATTAAGAAAGATTTTGAACTTGACCAAAACTGAGCCAATTTATCTGAACAAAAGCTCCTGATGAGCTGGCTTGAAAAATTTTTAAAATTATTTTCTTGAAAAAATTTTAAAAGGCGGTTTATACCAGACTACAACTGTTTTCTTAAAAAATCGGCTGGGCAATTTAAATCTGGAATAAACTTGTCATTTTATTATGTAGCTATTGTGTAAATTCGGATGTTTTCATTAACGAATATTTTAATTTTTAGATGTCTCTACTAGCACTATCAAGCACAAAACAGACATTCAGTCTTAGCAGGGGCGAACCTAGTAGTTATTTGGGGTTTGGAGGCAGATTTTCAAAAAATGTGGAAATTTTTTCGGCCTAATTTTAGATCGGCATCGGCTGAAAAAAATTTCAGAGCACTCCCAGAGCACTATAAATATTTTATTGTGACCACATTTTCAACGCCGCAGTCAATTTTTTGTAGAAAATTCAAAACTTTTTTTTTCGGCTTTTAATGAAGGTTTTGACAATAATTCTGGGTTTCAGAACACTGAAACTGTTTTTTGAGTGTTTCATTTTGATTTATACAAATGAATTGGCAATTTTTTTCTGAAATTACCTTTTGCACTTTTTTGAAGTTGTATTTATACAATGACAGATTAGTACTAATGCGTTCCAGTTGCTATTCATCCTGTAAGGGAAGCGTTTTCGTTCCTCCAAATTTTTCTAATTCGTACAATTTAATTGAGTTTGAGAAGAGCAATAAGCTCACAAAAGTTTGAAAATCTATTTAATTCTCTATTTATCAGCTTCCCCAATTGTTGTTTTTAATGGTTTCAAAATTTTACATGATTTTTATTTTCTATCTTTTCAAGTTGATTAGATCAGCTTGAAAAGCTTTTAGATAAAAACTGTTGTTTCCCCCAAACAGTTCCGAAACTTAAAGGTCATTTTAAAATTCCTGTAACTTTTTACATCTTGTTTTTGTGGTGGCTAATTATGACAAAACACCTAGTGATAAAATTCCAATCTCAGCGGTCCAAAAATTAGCATACAAATAGTTTTTGATGGAAGTCACTCCAACTGCGCCAGAGGTTATTGGGCCAGAGCTACTTTCCTCTCGATTTCGTTTCTTTGAACCATAGATGAAAAAGATCTCAACTGTTCTGAAATCGAAAGTTTTTTTAGGTAAACTTGACTAAATTTCTCGAAAAAAAGTTGCCTTTTCAAATTTTGTTTTTCAAACTTTTAAGTTGAGCGTCTAAAAAAGTTGAAAAAAAGTCTAAGCAAGCAGTATATCAGGTTGAGAGTATAATGAGAGCATGGAGCTCTATCCTCATAACAGCTACAGCGAAAAAAAATTGTTTTTTGGCAAATTTTGATTATCAGACACGGCAATTTCAAACATCAACACACATGAAATTTTTAAAGATGTAGTTTTTAATCATGACTAAAATAAACTTAAAAAAACGGGTCGAGGTGCTCGTTTTATCTTTTGAATGTTTTCGACCAAAATTTCACATGTTCCGACCGACTGGATTAAGTTTTGGGATGTTTTGACTTTCACGGCCAAACTTCGTTGTTCTAATTTTCTCGACCAAACTTTGTTAAATTTCAATTTCTCAACCAATTTTTGGTATGTATCGACTTTCTCGACAAAAATTTGGTATGTTTCGACTTTCTCGACAAATTTTCGATTTAATTTGACTTTCTTGACAAAAAAGTGTACGACCTTGTTCAAACCAGTTCAGATAGATATAGGTTTTCGCAGCCAAAATTCGATATGTTTCGTCTTTCTCGACAGTGCCGAACGACCTTTTTTGAATCTGTATGGTAATTTTTATCAGTTTCTTCAAATTGTTGTTTTAATGATGAAATTTGGGTCTCTAATTCAGTATAGAAAAACTGCCACTTATATTCTAAAAAGCAGTATATCAGATTACGAGCATAGTCCTTAAAAATCTTGGGAAAGCAAAACCTTTAAGTTAGCTTTTCTCGACCATGACATTTGTTG